TATATATACATGTATATATATATATATATATATATACGAAAATTAAAACGTCCTTCCGAAGCGGGCGATGGGATTTCAATTCCGGCTGCCGATAGCTTCTTACGGGCAACCCCCCAAACAACATTTCCTGCCGACAGCTTCTTACGGGCAACCCCCCAAACAACATTTCTTTCTTTTTTTGTGCTGACAATGTCACCTTCATAAAAAGAAATATAAAGTAAAAAAATCATTGAAACAATTGTAAAAATGCACCTAACAAATAAGCAAAAATAAATTAAATAAATCACTTAAAAAATTAGCATAACTAACATATATTATAATAAATCAACAAAAAAAGCCAAAACATAACATGTAAAGGCTGGAGCAATCACTATTCATTTGATTGAAATAAAAAAACTCTTTTCTATCTAATTATGTGTGCTCAACAAGCAAACTGAGAAAAAGGCATTGAAACTCGCTATTTGATTGCCTATTAATCATTTAACATTAGACGGTGTTGTGAGCAAAAAAAAAAAAAAAATTTGTAACAGTGCTCAGTAAGATAATAATAATGGTAAGCGGTGGTCGGTGGCGAGGGGCTGCGAAGGGGAGCGGTGACGGGAGGCGGAGGGCGACAGCCGCAAGGGCGTCGGGAGGTTGCGGAGCGGCATTTGGCAGTCGGCAGCAAGGGCTAAGTGGGGCGGCGAGGACCAACGATGGGCTGTGGAGCCTCAGCCAAGCAATGCCCAAAAAAACATGTTTTTAAAACAGCAAAAAACACAATTTTTTTTTGTTTTTGATGTTTTGAAAACAAGCATCACGTGTTTTAAAAATAAAATTAAGAAAAACAAAAAAAATAAATGAACAAAAAATACTATTTTTTGGGTTTGTTTTCTATTTTTTTGTTTTCAAAAATGAAAAACAAAAAATAGAAAGTGATCCAAAATAGAACCTAAGAGTCAAACTAATGTTCATGTTGGAATGAAAATCAAAGCATATCCATTCGGTCCAAGCCTTGTAATTATTTTAAATAGCACGACTTATTGAGTTTAGTAAATACATTTTGTGGAAAGAGTTGGAGGAGAATTCAAATAACTCAAAAATCACTTTCATTGTCTCAAAATTTCTTGTGAACAACTGCCATTGTCTTTGTTTATCATTCAGTGAAGCAATGTTTTAATATCATACTTTAAATTATTCACATGCTTAGCCAAAAACGAAGCTGAATCAGAATTTGCATGAAAGTATAGAGTATGAGATATATAAGTGTTGTAGCCGGTGACCAATATAGCACTTTAAAGGAGTTTTCAAAGGATATACTAAAGAAATGTTATAAGAAATTCAATAAAACCTTACACCCATATGAGACATGATTGAATTGGAAACACCATGGGCGGACAATCTCTTAATCTCCTTAAAAAAGAACCTCCCCGTTTTAGAGGAATCAATTGTTTTAACCTATGGAACAAAATGCATCATTTTAAAAAGACAATTGACAGACAAGATTATAGAATCATGGCTGCGAAAGTGATCCAAAATAGAACCTAAGAGTCAAACTAATGTTCATGTTGGAATGAAAATCAAAGCATATCCATTCGGTCCAAGCCTTGTAATTATTTTAAATAGCACGACTTATTGAGTTTAGTAAATACATTTTGTGGAAAGAGTTGGAGGAGAATACAAATAACTCAAAAATCACTTTCATTGTCTCAAAATTTCTTGTGAACAACTGCCATTATCTTTGTTTATCATTCAGTGAAGCAATGTTTTAATATCATACTTCAAATTATTCGCATGCTTAGCCAAAAAAGAAGCTGAATCAGAATTTGCATGAAAGTATAGAGTATGAGATATATAAGTGTTGTAGCCGGTGACCAATATAGCACTTTAAAGGAGTTTTCAAAGGATATACTAAAGAAATGTTATAAGAAATTCAATAAGACCTTACACCCATATGAGACATGATTGAATTGGAAACACCATGGGCGGACAATCTCTTAATCTCCTTAAAAAAGAACCTCCCCGTTTTAGAGGAATCAATTGTTTTAACCTATGGAACAAAATGCATCATTTTAAAAAGACAATTGACAGACAAGATTATAGACTCATGGCTGCGATCCTAAAAGGATATCAATGTTGATGTCTTGTATATCATGCACTCGGAACAATCAAGGAAATATATATTCTGGCATTTTACATGTCAAATTACGCAACTGACATTTTCATTGAGAGAGTAAACTATGATCCAAGTGATGTAAGAATGATCGAGGTAAGAAGGATTAAGGTTAAACTTTCTAATGCAAATATTATGATGCATTTGTATAAAATCATGCAAGTTTGAGAATTTATACATCCCAAACTCCTAAACAATTCAACATGTTTTCCTTAAATATAAACAGCAAATACAAGAGCTGCAACCCAAAGATAATGGAATCTCAAGAAAGCTTGAAGAAATATGCAACAAATCGAACTCTCATCCATTAAAATATTATTCGCTTTCGCCAATGATCTCACGATTTTGTCCCATCGGTATAGCTTCCTAGGTCATCCATTCCAAGAGTGCAAATGCACGAGCACACTAAACTTTCGAATTTCTGATGAAATTTCAACAGTTACACCAAAAGGCACCTCGATATTTAAGACTTTAGCTTCATGCTACTTAAAGGATTTTGCAATCTACCCAAATAAAGTATCTGGCATTCTCATAAATTTTCTTAACCCAAAATTATTTACCAGACAAATAGGATTTTAAAGGTGTCCTGTACATATTCAATAGGTGGTTCCCACTATGTAATACTGATGTGGAGCGTTGAAACGCTAGCCGGCTGAACCGGCTATCAAATACTCTTGCACATTTTAACCGGTCCAGGCGAGAGTCTCTTGACTTCTGGAGAGGGGTGAAAGGCAGGTATGCGGTCCATAAACAAATCTCACAATTTCTGCAGAGGGCAGAAGGAATTCTCGCGATATCTGGAGAAAGGCGGAATTACAATCCCTCTTATTCCTTCCTTATGCGCTCTTCCCTATATGGAAGGTTTTTAATGGCTATTTTTTGGGATATTCCTACCTCCCAACCCCTCCCTTTTGTGTGGGACTTTCTTTTTTCTATTTCTTTCATTTTCTTCTCCATTGAGAGTCTATATATTTATGTTTTTAGAAAATTAGGGCACATTTTTTGTTGTTTTCAGATTCCATAGACCTGTGTGGAGTTGTTCTCCCTGTTCTAGGGTTATATCCGAGAAGGTGGTAGTGCTCCAATTGTATCCTACTCCAAGGTGGTGTTTTATCATCCTCAAACCCATTCTCAACTCCACCTGCTCCCTTCTCCCTAGCCGCCCGACCACCCCCTGCACATCCTCCCTACGTTGTCTCCTACTTCCAGCCCTCCCATCCACCTATCAGTACCTTGTCCTCCCTTCCCCAGCCGTCGAACCTTGTTGTCCAGCCATCCGACCACCAACAAATATCATGTATCATGTTGGCCAATCCAGGCAACCCCCTTGTTATCCAGGTCGCCCTCACAAGCACCCAAAATCTCCCCTTGTCATTCCCTCTACTTTCCCTATCGGCCCAGTCCTTCAACCATCAAATCAACCACCACCCCTCCCTTCCAATTCCCCCTTTCTAACCTACCTCGCTGCCTCCACCCCTTCCCATCCTCGTACTACTTCGCCAACACCAACACCATCCCGGGTCCTCCCTTCCGGCCATAGCAGGAGTGTAGTGTCGTTGTATTGTTCTTTCCAGTTGTGTCGTGTTGTAGCCTTATTTCCATATCAATAAAAGTTTGTTTTTTGAGTTTTCAATGAGTTCCTACCTCCTCTGAAATCAAATACTTTATCACATCTAGAGTTCAAGAGGTAGCTTCCAGGTGTAGCTTGTTGTTAATATGCACTTAATTCCCATTTTCAGGTCGGTGTAACGCTCCGATATAAATTGTAACAGCCTGAACTTTTATCCATCGAGATATTGTCCGCTTTGATCTAACGGTCTCATGATTTTGTCTCATTGACGTAACTTCCCAAGAGGTCACCCATTCTAAGAGCGCTCCCGCAAAAGCACACTTAACTTTGAACATCCTGATGAAACTCCAACTTTTACACCAAAAAATGAGTTATGTTTAAGAGTTCAATTTCATCTACTCAAGGGGTTTCATAGATTTCATCAGATTGAACGGTTAAAAAAAATTTGGCTAGAAGAATTTAGCATTTCATATTCAACAAATAAATCCATTCAAAAATTTTGTGCTTCCAAAATAATCCATGAATCATTACAAGTAAATGCATCTCGCCAATGAATTAGATATCTCTAGAATCTATTATTGTAGTGGCCATAGTCTCACATTTATAATAACCTCAAAGATAATATGCATATAAATATAGGATAGAGAATTAATAAAAACTTGATACAAATTACCTTTCTGTGACGCTTCTTTGTTGGACTTCCTCTATCAAACTTCACCAAAATATTTTGATCAATGTTTGCTGTCGTTGGAGCCTTCGAGGAAACCATCATTTCGTAATCATGCAATAAAAGATGGAATAAATATTAACATCAAGCACCCCATAAAAGTTTCAACAAACAAATGACAAACACCATATACAATGCAGTGAGTCATGGTTACAATTTCGCAGAAAAAACATTCAGTTCACACATCAAACAACAGAAGTACAAATGACTTATTGATAAAAAATAAATTTAACCAGGAAAAAAGTTAGACTCCATGCAGTACAAAAACAAATTTATCAAAGTCAATACAACCGTCCAACAAATATAAAAACAAAAACATATTTCCAGTGCGGTTATTTGCAGCTAGAATTAGGGGTGGCAGGGGACGGGGGCAGGGGGGGCGGCGGCCAGCAGAGCCTCGCACAGGTAATGCCAGAAAAAACATGTTTTAAAAACAAAAAAAAAAAGGAAAAAAAAAATAATTTTTGTGTTATTGATGTTTTGAAAACAAGTCTCATCTGTTTTAAAAATAAATTTTAGAAATAATAAAAAACAAACAAACACTATTTTTGGGTTTGTTTTCTATTTTTTGTTTTAAAAAACAAAAAAAAAACAAAAAGATAGAAAGTGATCCCAAACAGGACCTAAGAGTCAAACTAAAGTTCATGTTGGAAGAAAAATCAAAGCATGTCCATTGGGTCTAAGCTTTGTACTGTTTGGGGCAGCTTGTGCGTTTCAGGATAAGCAGCTTATCCTGAAACGCGACCCGTGGGTAGACCGCCGGGGTCGACCCGCGACCAACGTTTAGAGTGAAAAACTCAAACACGGCAGACATCGCTTTCAAAAACAGGCAAACCAAACGGTTAGGCGGCGTTTTCAAAAACGCCCCCACACTTATAAGCTGCCCCAAACTGACCCTTATAGAGTTTATTAAATACATTTTGTAGAAAGTGTTGGAGGAGTATACAAACAACTCAATTACAAATAACTCAAAAATCACTTTCATTGTCTCAAAATTTCTTGTGAACAACTGCCATTGTCTTTGTTTATCATTCAGTGAAGCAATGTTTTAATATCATACTTTAAATTATTCACATGCTTAGCCAAAAACAAAGCTGAATCAGAATTCGCATGAAAGTATAGAGTATGAGATATATAAGCGTTGTAGCCGGTGACCAATATAGCACTTTTAAAGAGTTTTCAACGGATATACTAAAGAAATGTTATAAGAAATTCAATAATAAAGAACCTTACACCAATATGAGACATGATTGAATTGGAAACACCATGGGCGGACAATTGGTTCAACTTTAATTCTTCATCAGTATCAGCTATTAAACCATTGTTTGTTTCAGAGGATTCAGTAATGGTTCCCTTATCACCATTGTTAGGAGATTTCAGTGCTTCCTCATGCAAAATTCTACTAAACTTAACCCTAAACTTTAATGCTGATTTCCTCCAACTTCTAAAGTTCTCATCTAAAGGAGAATTTATTTTATGAGAATCAGATTCAGTTCCTTCATCCTTATCAAAAATCTTTAATTTTCTTCCAAAAGAGTCACCTTCAGACCCATCCGTAGATCTCATAACAGATTCGGTACCACCCGATGTTGAAATGTTCTTTCGTTTGAACCTTCGGTTCAATTTAAACTTAGTAGAATAATTCTTATCTGTATCAAACTTGGTTTCCTCATCGACTAAACTTTCCGAGGTTTTATCATACAGGGAAGGATCTAGTTCTGAAGTTGTATGTCTGGGGCTGCCTCTTGGTTTAAATGTTGAATTTTGATCTCCAGATTCCTCAGATTTCCTATATAATTTACTTCTATTAAATGCAAGTATATAAAATTGTTAGAAAATTACATTATACAATAGGAAGATTTACATACATAACACTTAATTCCTAGTATTTTTTACATATATACCACTTAAAAGTTAAAAATACAGATTTTTTTTATTTTTTGATGTGATACGAAGGATTTTGGTGGTATATAAATGTAAAAAGTAAAGTTTAGGTGTTAGATGTGTAAATACATTGGAATTGGGTGGTATGTATGTAAATGTCTGAATAAAATAATGCAATATATAAGGGAGTTCCAACTGACCCATCTCTGGCCGTGTTCCTTTTTCTTGTACTTGCTTTTCGCTTGTTTGGCCTGGCCAATGACAATCAGAGAAATGAGCCGAGGAAATTTTTAGTGAATTCCGCAAGAAAAAAAATGTGGGTCTAGTTGGGTCGTTCACGTGTCAATTTCTTATTGGAGTCCAAATGGAACTCAAAAATCGACTCCGCATGTAATATTTTCTCCAACTAACAAGCAATTAAAAACTTTATAATTTTTTTATCAGTCCATTAACAGCATATCAATCATGTAAAAATCAAAGATATAATTAAATTTCACAAAACCAAAAAGCATTCTTGAACATCTATAAGGGAAGGGATCTGGATTGAAACTAATAACGGGAAAGACAAATTGTAACTGAATGGGGCGGGGTGACAAGGCTCTTCATCAGCATCTAAAACATTATAAAAATAGGCTCAACATTAAATCACCAGAAAATGTCGCACGATCCTACAATATTGCCTTAAAAACCTGAATGAAGAGAGAAGAACAGAAAATGAAAGATTTTAAATAATATTGAAAACAATAACGTGACTGAAAAAAGAAAGACAAGAAAAATGCTTCATGAACAGCACTGAAAAAAAAATACAAAGCACTGAGAGAATGAACACATGAAAACAAAAAATAAAGAATCAGCCACAAATACAGATAGCAGAGAAAACCAAAATATAAAAATATAACTTAACAAGTAATTGCACTGTACAAAGAGTAAAAATAATTCCTGGAATTCGAAAGCCAATTAAATTTGCTGGTCAGCTGATACGCATCACTAAGCCAGAAAGAACTGGACTGACTATATATAATAGTAGAAACAAAGAAAAAAAAAACATGCGGCCAAAATCACAATTCATAAGCTTACCAGATGAAATAAATCTCCAAAAAATAAAGTGAAATTTACATACGTAGCACGCAATTCTTATGGATTTACGCATCTCACAGCTAAGCTTTCATATTTACACATAGCATTTTACTTGTGCATGAAAAGAAGAATTCGACTATTAAAATAAGTAATTGATATTACTTTGGATGTGATACGAGAGAATTGAGTGCTCTGAGTGTAAATATAGAAGTTTTGGTGTGAGATACCTAAATCGATAAGAATTAAGTGCTATGTATGTAAATACCCCAAAAATAAATACTCACATTTGTGAAGAAGATTCTGGGCATGCAATATCATTTTCCTGTCCCTGTAGGAAAATCAAAGAAGTGGAGGTTCAAAAATTTGAATACAATAGAAACAAAGTAAATGAACAAGCGTGATGGTTGATGTACCTTTTCAAAATTCTTGGAATCAATATAATTCCAGCGCTCATTCCTCAAAAATAAAATCTCAGCATCCCCATCATCATACACCACCTGTGCCGTGAAAAAGAGAACCACTAATAAATTCTTAAGAAAATCCATAATATCTGAACAAGCTATCAGACACAATTGAAGGTACAAATTTGTAATACCCTGTGCTTCTTTGTTACAGGATCAAAAGCATCAATAACACCTGTGTAGAACCTACAACATAACCGTAACAAATCATAAATCAATCAAGTAAATCATGTCATACGAAAAGGCTAAAACAATCTCAAAGCCCATTGTTAGAGGCAAACATTATCTGGTATTAAAAAAAAATTTATATAATTTCAATGTGTAGGACTGTCTAGATGCCATGTGCCATTGGAATGATTGTTAAACTATTAACCTCTTAGCCATTGATTAGGTGCCATCAATGTTAGGGCCGTCAAATCAACTCATCGTTCGCAAACAGCTCGTGTTCAATTTATTCGTTAAGCAAGTGAGCAGAGGACAAATAATATTTTTTAGCTTAAATTACAAAACAAGTCGAACATGAACAAACTTGTGTTCGATCATGTTCGACTCATTTTAACTTGAATTAAGTAAATAATTAAATATCATTATAATATTTTTATATGCCTTTTTATGCTTTATTTTAAAAAATATTACATTATATTGTTTCTTAAATCATTCGAGCTAATTTTAGGAGCTAAAAAGAAAAAAGAATTAGAATCCAACCGAACACGAATATGCTATTCATGTGCCATTTTGAACAAAAAATTGAACGAGCCAAAAATAGGTATTGGGGTTGCCCAAGCTCGGCTCGTTTACACCATCATCTTCATTTAGGGATGCCTACCATAAGTTATTGATGGTAATTATAAACCGAGGCAACATTATCTATATAAATCAAAATTACGACTCTAATAATATTTAATATGAGGATTACATTGTTTAAAATTTATGATAGAAAAAAAAACAAAAATTGCTTCATTAGATTACTATTTTATGCTGCAGGAGTAATGCAAAAGCTCGTGCACGCAACAAAAAAAAATTAAAAGCATCAGGCTTACACAATGATACTTTGAATGAGTGTTGAAATAGTGATTCAGTGAATGCAAAAAAGACCCACCCAATAGTACATCAGACATTACTCCAGGATACTGTGTAATTGAGGGCTAGGATGAAAAAATATATGTAAAAAGTGAACCTTTAATCTCCCGCCTAAAACTACATTTTGCGATGAATCTAAGTCCTGGCTTAAACAATTCAAAATCAATTCCAAATCATTCAGAACCCCTACTTCACTGATTCAAAAGCTCAATAAATATAGCTTTCAATACCAGCTCTAAGAATAAACCAATTATGACTCATAATTTCCAGTCTCTCGTGCCCCCTCTCTCCACATAGGCACATGGAGTTTAAAAATTAACTTGTATTAAATATCAAGAAAGTCAGAGAAACTTCCAACATCAAAGTGCTTTGAGCAATACAAATTGAGAAAGTATAAAAATGCACAATAGAAATATAGGAGTAAACAATGTTAAGAAACTATGTTAAAACAATACGTAGCATGATAAATAAAATCAAAAGTCAGAATGTTGGCATCATCCCATCAATTTTAATGCCAAAGCCATAACTACTACTTCACGCAGAAATACATAATTTAAAGCAGTAAAACTTCCACAACACGATATGCACGTAACAAAAACATTCATCCGGATGTTCAAAAAATTTACAAAACAAAATAAGTTTCATTTTACCTCTCATCATCAGGCCACCACACTTCTATCTTACGACCAATATTATCCAAATGCATGCTAAATAATCGAGAGGCCTGAAAAAGATAGAAAAACTTTTAAATCTAATAAGTTAAACTTTTCCCAAGTTGAAAAGAAAACAAAACAAAGGTCAGTGCAATACAGCAAAGCCATGGTAACATTGAAAGACCTTCACAGAGATTTTTGTCAACATATAAAAATAAATAAATTTCCATGCTTCAAAATAGTGCAGTATTAGGTGTGCCTCACACGGTCAGCTTGCGCCTTGCCTCAAAAGTCTGCCTCATAAATAGCTTTAGTTTGATTTTTTAAAAATATATGGAGAGAGAAAATATATTAACTAGCCCCCTCTCATTCTTGGAAGATTTAATTTTGTGTCTCATGATAGCAAAAAATAAAGAGAATTGGGAGCTAAGAAATTAATGCATATGAACAAATAGATGAAATCATTTTATTTAATTTTATTAAATTGATGCAATCATTTTTAATCTCTCCCTAATTGTTGTGAGCTTCAGAAAATTAATTGAGAGCTTAAAGCTGCCGGGTAAACAGTCTGGTGAGGATAACTAAAGTTTAAGAGGAGAAATTGGAAGGTAAAGGTAAGAAAATTAAGAATATAAGTAAATTTATATAAATTTGATATTTGATCCCAATTCATCTAATGATATCATTGATTGCTCCCCGTAAACTGAAGCAGGTTTGGGCAGCTAGATTTGGAAGGGATGTGGACTGTAGATATTACCAGGAATGTAGGCCTTAAGCAAGAAAATACAGGGACTTTGTTAAATTTTTGACAAGGCTTGTATGAAATGTAGATATAAAAATATTAATTTGACAAGCCCAGGGAAGAACTCGTCGCAACTCTGACCCAAATCTCATGTAAGATACTCAATTGATAAAATAAGAAACAAGTTGTTTTATAGGACTATCGATTGCTACTGTCAATTAATAAATTCATTTATTATATGATTGTGTTTATTAATTATTTCATATTGTGCATATTCTTAGTCTGATTTAATTATACAAATGAACGCCTCAATAGTTTCATTTTGTGGTGATTCATAGAAATGCAAAATCAAAGCCCAAATAGTTGACTATTACCTGCTATGTTGTATTTCTTGTGTATATTACTAAAGTGATTGTTTGCGGGTACATTCAAATTAAGCAATAAATGCATATAAAAGTACTTATAAGAGGTAAAAATGGTTCGAAGAAATATCATGTATAATATGATAGAAAGACAGATATATTAAAGATTGTTGAGTCCGCTAAATTAAATTATGAGCGAATTTCAGTTACACTGATAGAAATGTATGGATTATTATCAGTAAAAAATAATATTTTTGGTAGAAAATTTTCAAATCAACAAAGATGAAGATATCGAACATATAAGCAAAAATAATGATACAAATAAAGCAATTGAAATTATTGTAGCAATGTCACTGTAGTAGCGGTATTGTAACAATAGTATTGTAGCAGTGTTACTGCAGCAGCGCTATGGCGCTACTGTATCGAAATAGAAAATTGAGAGCTTTGTGTCTTAGTGCTTCCTCTTGGCGCCACAATGCTGACAGTCAAGTGTTGTGGCGCTTAAGATGGAGCTCCGCAGTGCTAGTATCTTAAAAAGGCCTCAAGAAATTGAGAATAGTGTCATAGCGCTACATTTAAAGTGTCGCAACCCTACCAGCACAGCGCCGCGAAACTAGTTTACAACACTATAGGGCATGATCTGACGGAATTAATTCAAACTTAGAAGTTGTGTGGTTTTTAGAACAATTATGGTGCAGGGACAGATGCTTAAGTTAAGAAAAAATATTGTAGTGACTAGGAGAAACTAGAGTGGACTTAAAGAGTGCGGTGTGTGAGTGTGAGTAGTGTGTGCAAGAAAAAGATGAGAAAAGATTCCAAGGGAGAGAACCGTGCAAGCAAAAAGGAGAAGAAAAAAATTAGACCTTCAAGAATCAAATGCTAGTTTTCTCTTTAACCCCTAGTGTAGTTTATGTTTTTCCATAGTACTTTCTTACTTTTCTCAATTATGTAAAAGAACTAGTTTTTGTTCTATTTTTATTTATGATTCATTTCAAGTGATAATTTTAATGTGTAATGAATTTTATGAATAAAATCTATATGATTGTTTTGTTTCACTTGATACTCATTTAGTTTTGTTATGGCCAAACAATTCTTAATATATAATGTGATCTTGTAATTTCAAAAGAATCCTAGTGGAACAACAACGGTGAAATAAATATAGGACAGAGAATTAATAAAAACTTGATACAAATTACTTTTCTTTGACGCTTCTTCGTTGGACTTCCTCTAGCGAGCTTCACCCAATTATTTTGATCATTGTTTGCTTCCGTTGGAGCCTTCGAGGAAACCGTCATTTCATAATCATGCAATAAAAGATGCAATAAATATTAACATCAGGTACCCCATAAAAAAGGATTCAACAAACAAATACAAACACCATATACAATGCAGTGAGTCATGGTTACAATTACGCAGAAAAAACATCCAGTTCACACATCAAACAACAGAAGTTCAAATGACTTATTGATACAAAATAAATTTAACCACGAAAAATGTTAGACTCCATGCAATACAATTAACAAAGTTCTCAGAGTCAATACAACCCTCCAACAAATATAAAAACAAAGACACATTTCCAATGTGGTTATTTGCAGTTAGTATCAACGGAGAACAACAAGTTAACACAAAAATGGATCTTAACAACAACACAACGAGTTATGGAAAACAAACTAGCCTTGAGCTCCGCATTTTAAATAAAGTTAAGAAACTAGATAAATACAGATCATGCAATTCAGCATAATTATAACAACAATGCGACGCGAGGCGGTCAAAATCCACTCCCTTCAGGGTGATGTGACACTACTCCGGTGCAACTACCGGACCGGTCCAGGACATTAAATGCTGATCCATTTTAATCGTTTGCATCCCTCATCGCATGCTTTGCTCGCCTCCTTCCTCCGTGCCCTAATCTTATGCCCCTCCTAGCCGGTGCTGCACACTTCCTAGCCATTGCATTTCTTCCACTTTTAACCTCTTTCCTTCTTTAGATCTTTCCTTTATGATCTTCTCTTCCTCCCTAATTTATGCTTGTTATTTTCTTAGGTTAAGACAGTTTTTTGCTTATTGATTTTTCTTATTTCAAGTGATCCTCCCGAGGGATTTCCCCTCGTTCGAGGTTGTATCCTTTGACGATGTGATGCTATGATTGTAATCTGCCAAGGTGGTGTGTATCTCCGTTTTACCCCCTCGTGGCGTCGCCCTCCACTGTTGTTGCCCTCCCAGCTCCTCCCGCAGATTATTTGAGTCATCCCAGTCATACAACAGCTGCTGGGACCCTTTCCAGCATCTCCTGCATCAAGCCACCTGGTACCCTGATCCTTCCCAGCTCTCTCTCTCTAGGCGTCGCCCCTCCCTCCTGCACTCCTCCAAGTAAGCCGCAGCCCTCCCAGCTCTCATCCCGTCGGTATCACCCTCTCCGGCCCCACCTCCAGCGGACCATCAGCCCCTCCAAGTTCTCCTAGCTCTACTCCAGTAACTGTCAATCACTCTGACATCCATCCAACCGCTGCCAACACTTCACCATCCTCCCCGATGACTTCTCAACCGCCCGCCGATGCTGTCCAGGACTGTTTCGGATCTGTGCTTAGTATATTTTCTGCAATCACTCTTTCATTTTACTGTTTTTGTCTATGTACCCTTGTTGGCTGTCTCTTGTGTTCTCGCTGGTAAGGAAGAGCTGTACTAGTCTTTTAAATTCCAGCAATAAAATTAGTCCTTTCCGAGTCATGATTTGGGTTAACTCCGGTATCACTATTAGAAATGAAATTTTAAGAAACCGGATTAAGCAATATGAATAACATAAGACAACAAAGCACTAAATTTATTTCGGTGAAATATTCAAAACAAACAAAAGTGTTGTGAGCATTCCTTCAAAACAAATTAATTCATAATTTGGACGTGGCACGCTCTGGTTAATTAATCATTCAAGCAACGTACAGCAAAAAACTTATTTCAGGTCAAAAGTACAGCAAAAGTTTTAGAATAACATATTGCAGAGTTTTTTTTCTCAAATTTAAAGCCAAACTCTCATTAAATTTGATGCACGTAGAAGGCTAGCATGTACCTTCAGACAAGGTTCTGCAGAGGAATCCCTGTCAGCCACATCTTCAGCCTTTGGCTTTTTGAGATTGGACACCCGCTGGTTTTCGAAAGTATTTGCATCAGCAACAACACTTGCAGCTTCCTTTTGTTGTTTCCTCAAACACTGGCCATCACTGATACCAACTGCAGCAACTTCAGTCATAGCATTTTCTGCAAGTGACATCTTAGAATCCTGTAATGGTTTTCCATCAGAAATACTGGCAACACTTTGATCTTCATGCTCATAAACTACAGCCGTTGGACCTTCCTTCTCCATTGTAGTAATTTCAGAAACTATTTCCTTACATGCCAGAGAGGCAGGTTTATGTGAAATGCTTTTCATTTCACTAAAATGTGAAGGAAGACCACTGACAGGAGAACTATAAGCAGGGGCAGCTGAATCAAAACATGGAATAGCATCCACTAGGCCCGCAAGTAGCTGAAGTTCAGCATCCGTTTCAGACTCCAAGTGCACTTTAGTTTCTGGCACCATAACAGGCACACGGTCTGATTTCAAAATTTTAGCTTGCCCGTTCAGTCCATCTCTCTGACTAGTTGGAGTAGAAGTTTCCTTATCACCACCTACCGGAGAACTATCAATAGCATCTGTCAACTGAACAGAAGATGATTTTGCTTCTATATACTGAAAATTTATCTCATTAGCAGGTTTTTCAGTAATGGAGCTTAGACTATTAGTTTCACCTATGGGGACTACATTTTTACATTGCTCATTGGACATAGAACTTTCAAGCTCAAGTTCTGGATAAATTGGTTCTATAACCGCATGTCCATTTCCTAATGGCATGACACCATTGCTAAGCACCTTTATAGTTGTATCAGCAAGAGTGCCTACCTCAACAAGACAACTTACAGGTTTGTCCAGCTTCTCAGATTCCTATACAAGAGAAGCAAGCACACAAATCATTCTAGTTACATTAATCAAAGTGCAATAAACTAATAAATCAGAAAAGGCAGAAAAAGTAAACCACAGCGACATGCCTGACCCAATTCATCAGAAACTGTCCTTTCCGATAATTTGTTGTCATCCGCCTACAAAAGACAATTCCAACAGCCATAAGAGCCATTTTATTGATCTCAAATAACTCAATCTGATTATTCCAGTGTATATCAAACAGAAAGTTTCACTGCAATTTATATGATTAAAGATTTCCAGAAAAAAACATGTAATACAAATTTATCAGAAGAGATGTAGAAATAAGTATATTGCATGCCAACAATGCAGTGAAAAAGGATAAACACATGTAAATTATCAAACCAATGAATCTTGATGCAGTTTACACAATTATTCAGGCCTTACTTGAAGATAAACAACAAGAAATGCTCTCAACAATTTACTTCATTTAGCATTCTTATAGATCAAACATAAAAATTGAAAACAGCATTGTAGTAAAAGGAAAAAAAAAAAACATTAAAGAGCCCCAGGCTAGCGTGGATAGAACCATCAAATGAACTCTCAATATCAAATTTGTGGCATAGATGATTGAGTCAATGAATTATAAAAATAATGAAGAGAATAAAAGTTTGTATTCATGTTAGTATTGTTAAAGGTGAATCAAGTGCTCACCGAAATACTAAAGCATGCAAAGATCTCAGCACAAGCAAGAGCCATTACAAGTGCCTAGACGAGGCATTGATGCAAACATTTTGTCATGATTTGAGTAGTTCGTTCTAACACAAATTCAACAAAATTTGAGAATGGGCATTTTTTTATGGTGATAACTTGCAATAGGAATAATGTGAAAAGAGCATGATGAGTTGAAAAAACAAGCATGCTCTCTCGGAATTAAGATGATTAAATAAGGGCCCAAAATATTTTTTATTTATAAAAATTTGGATGAAATCTTCTTATCAGAATGAAAGAATGCTTACCATTACAAAAACAATGAAAAACATGACCATAGTCATACAAAACTAATCCAGGATAAAACAGAATCCCAAAAAGGTACGAGTCTTTCAAATGCATTTGATAGTAGATGATTTTTTCCCAATGGTGATGTAAATCAAGAAATTAGCTGGATTGATAATACTAACAAAAGGAATTTGTCTACCATTTCTTGTCGAAAAATAAACTAGCATCACTTTCATTCCAAATTATTTGGAACAAAGAAAAACATAAATTTCACAAATTTCTTTGAAGTCCTTGAGAAGAGCATCTCTCTACGGAGAAAAAATCATATTCCAAATTCTCTATAAATTTACTTATGCCAAAAGGAGAGTAGAGCCTCCTCCAAATCTTTGAGATAATATCACAACCAAAGACGTGGAAAGCGTCATCAAAAATGTCTCCACACAAGGCATAAGTGGCATTTTTAATGAAATATTTATTCATTAAAAGTTCTAGCTATAAATTATCTTCATTAAAAGAAATAAAGAAAATGTTCAAATATTAGATGGAAAATTGAAATCGATGTTCCCCATGTCTGTCCGGGACATAAGCGTTAAAGATTGGACAAGTTTTCGTTCCACTTGGTTAAGGATCTCCAGCCCCCTAGGCTAGGCTGACCACCTTTATTAGGATTTTCTTTTGCTAGCTTTATATAAATACATTGTTTAAAACCTAGTTATGAACTTTTGGTTAATCTTATGTTATTAGATATTTCTTCTCCAGTTTTGTCCTATTTGTGAAGTGTTATGACCGTAACCTGATCAAGAATTGGTGAGGATCTCCCTCAACATTCGTACTTCAAAGATATCGTTGTTTTTTGGTGTTTCCCCGTTGTTTACCTATCAGATAGCAACAAGAATCAAGTTTTCCTCGTCCAATCCTTTTGGTTTTCTCATATTTTGCCTTAGTGCCAATCTAGAATCATCCCCGACATGAATTTGATCCTCTCGTACCTTCTAGGAACCTTAGAACGGAGTCATTTGATATCAGAGCCACTTAAACCATAGAATATTTCTTCGTAAAAGCCAAACCCATATCCACATAAACCAATCCTTCTACCTGTACAAATATCCAACCTTAATCCAAAACCATACATCCTCTCACTTTCGAGCAAACCCAAAAAAAATCACTTTTACCTCAGCTAAAACCCTAAATACAACAGATCTACTAAAGAGAATTCCAAAAATCGGTATTCGAGATCTTATGATGGAAGATATGCAAACAAAATCCTCCAATTAGAACATAGGGTCGTCAATTTTAAAAGAAGGCAAAATGGGGAAATAACATATAGTAACAATGGTGACCACCTGGATGAAGAAGTTGGAAAAACCATTTTCATCAAAAAATCACAAACAATGAAGGGTTAATATCACATTGATTCAGCACTAAGCAAAGGAGAAGAGAGGGTGAATTTGAAAATAATGTTGATTTACCGGTATTAGAGGGTTGTATGAATTCGGATGAGTTTATTGAGTGGCTCAAGATACATACATTTGAACTGACAAGAAGCTGAAGCTAGATGCCATCAAATTAAGATGAGTGTTTCTTTGTGATGAGAGAATTTAAAATGTTTGTGCCCGCGTAAGGAAAAAGAAAAATCACAACTCTACTCGAGATCAAGAAGTGGATGAAATATAAGTATCTCCCAGCACACTTATGCAGGATATCTTTATGAGACTTTACTATTTACATCAAAAAAGCTTATTGATAGTGGAGTACACTATAAAGCTTCAACAAGTCAAGTCGAAGCGTTAATTGGTGGTTAGAACACCTTTTCAACTCGTTGTACTATAAAGGGAAATGTGTGCAAGCTCATCATGATAAAGGCAATTTTGAGAATGTAATGTCAACCACGATGATGGATAAATCGAGTCTCATTACCCGAGAATATTCTCATACTACCTGACTCGGTTGAATAAAAAAATTGAGATTAATATTGACAAAAGGTATTTGATAGAGTTTTTCATTATAGACACCATAAAAGTAGGTGTGGTTTGAAGATGTGCCTATAGATATATATATATAATATTTTGTTGTCAACCATGAGTGGTTTGAAGATGTGCCTATAGATATATATATATATATATAATATTTTGTTGTCAACCATGACAGCAATATAGGGGCACAATTTATGATGGCCATAAAAATACATACTCTTTCATCTAAGATAAAAAGACAGCATAATTTTACAATTGGAAGAATCAATATTGACGAGTGGTCTAATAAATATGGGAGCTATAATTCAAACACACCATATTTTTGTAGGCTACGAGAAAGGCTCCAATAGAACTAGCTTTGATGATGTTGGAGGGCGATGAAATGAATGAGCTAACATTTGAGACATTGCAACCGTTATTATGAGAGTTTTAAAATATTTTGGCTAACAGCCTGCCACCTAGATTATGACTCATACATGAAATTCAACATGCATAGATTGCATCCCAGGATCAATGCTCCTGGCGAGCCTATGAGACCAACAAAGTATGAGTTATAAAAGCAAGTAGAGGATCTGATAGCCTAGAAATTAAGGGTCTATTTGGGGTAGCAGTAGATTATTTATAATATGTTAATAAGCAGATTATCCTGACAATCTGCAGATTATCAGGATAAATTAGTTTGTTGTTTTGGGAGCTTTATTCAGAACAACTTATTTGCAGTTGTTATTGGATAAATGACCACTCTGACCCTATTTAGTGATATTGTTTGCAACATAACTGTATTAACGAAATAATTGAAAAAACAGAAGCCGCAAACTATTACAGATCAGTTAAAAAAATAAACATAGAGTACTAACTCATGTGTGAGTATCAAAAGAAATAAAATAACGATAAATTTAATTACAAGTATAATTTAAAAAATTAAAATATTTAATTTAAAACTCTAACGACGTCTGTCCTCAGCTGCAATGTCCTCCTAGGGAATCATCACACCTCAATCACTGTCGGCAGTACAATATGTCAGAATGTCAGCCCAACGGAAGAAACCGCAATGAGCTGAAACACCCTTGCGACAGCCGTAGAACTCTCTCACTATTGTGAGACTGACGTAACGTTAGGCAGTAACACGACACAGCTCAAGAGATCCCTAAAATCCTAGAGCTAATGTTGCTAAAGAGATAAAAAAACAAAGAAATCATTTGTCAAATCAGAAAAATAAATTAAGTTACTATATAGCTACAAGAGAACCGAATTAAATGAAAACCGTATCGAAATAAAAAACTTGAAAAATGTGAGTGTGCGATCTCAAACAAGTAACTACATCAATGCACGTATCTGTCACTACAAGGAGACAGTGGACCTTCAAAAAAATGAGTTCTTGGTTGTCTTTAACTCACGGGGACGATTGCCCTAGGATACATGTGTCTATCACCAAAAGAAGTCATCCAGTAGATCATCATATACCGTTGCTTTGAAAAAAAGAGAGGGTTAAGATTGCCTTCTTTAGGATTTCACATGCAATATCAACATGACACGATCGTCCTGTACCAGATGTGTATATCACCAAGAAAGGCCATCCACATAAATCTTCATCATTTGATGCACACAAAAGAACTGAGGCTATTGGTTGCCTTAATTAGGAATACACATACAATACTAAATAACAACAACGAATCGGTCATCCAAAAAAACTCGTAAGACAATATTTTTCATCATTCATCACTGATCTCAAATTGAAGTGTGGAAATATTTGGGTGGAAAGTCTGTAGGAAATATTTTTCATCATTCATCACTGATCTCATCATTCATCACTGATCCATTTGGGTGGAAAGTCTGTAGGAAATATTTTTCATCATTCATCACTGATCTCATCATTCATCACTGATCCAAAAAAATCAAGGGTGGAAAGTCTGTAGGACTTGATGATATCCCAATTGAAGTGTGGAAATATTTGGGAGATTTGGGAGTTTCTTAGCTTACTAGACACTTTAATATTATTTTAAAAACTAAAAAGATGCCTGAGTGGAGGAAGAGTATTTTGGTCCCCATTTTTAAGAATAAAGGGGATGCACAAGAGTGTGCAAATTATAGAGGAATTAAGTTGATGTGTCATACTTTAAAATTATGGGAGAGGGTAATTGAACATAGGTTAAGACACATCACAAAAATTTCTCATAATCAATTTAGATTTATGTCGGGCAGGTCTA